TTAGAAATGTGTGTGTGTGTGTATGTGTGTATGTGTGTATGTGTGTGTGTAACTATGAGAATACATGTGGTGCAGTTGTGAGGAAAGCTACCATCTTGAATATGTAAAAACGTTCTTCAAGTACTGACTGTGACCAGACCAATTCCCAGAAATACAAAAAGCAAGAACCTCAGAGGTTTGTGGAATTGCTTCACTGGAAACTCTCTATACTTGGTGGCTGAGCTGTTTTTCTGACATTAATTTACACTAAGAAAGAGTCCAGGGATGTTAAACCTAGGTGGGCTCACAGCAGAAGTGGATGAGTTTTCTGAGAAGCAGCTAGTCCTCTTGGGATGTGTAGATCCCAGTGGGCCCTCAGGTTTGGGAGCCAGTGCTCAAGGATTTGGCTTCCCTGTGTTGAGTCCCAAAGGCTCATTGCATTACAAATAAGTAAAACGAGACATCTGTTTTTCTAGACTGGGGAATCCTCAAGATTTGATACTGTCACCACTGAGCTCCTCAGACTGATTTAATCACTGTTCTATGTTCTATTAGTAGAATCCCTTTATCAGCCTCAAAGACCCAAAATTATTTGCCTACAACACTAGAGATTCAGACAGGACTGTTGGCCCACATCAGCAAAGTTAGGGGGCCACTTTTGTGGCGTGATCTAAAAAAGATAATGAAAAAACTCCGGTGCAAAATAAATTGACCTGCCTCGGGGTCTGAAATTCCAGCTGTGGTCTTTTCTCCCTTTTTGGAAGAGATCTTGTCAACATAAACATTTTCTCATAAAAGACTTGAGATTCCTCATTAACGTATCATCGTCAGCTATTAACAATTGGGCATGAATTAATTTATCAGGCACTGTCTGCTGAAGACAGTGTTAGCAAAGTGCCAGATGTTCATGAAATGAGTTTTGATGAGCATGGGGAACTAAGGGCCACTTTGTGGCAGAAGTCTTTTTTCTTTTTTGTAGAGAAATACATGTCTAGGGTAACTTGGAGGGTGGCCCTGAGAAACTGATCAGGAACATGAACACCTCTTGATTGAGATTTGTTGTATTTGCTTCCTGATCCTCTATTCCATGACTCTTAATGTCTGACATTTGGCCCTGGAATTATCTACATCTATAAACCATCTATAATCCAATGGTTTAATCAGATATAAAAATATTAATTATATAATTGATATTCCATTGCTAACCTCAGGATAAATGCATATACCCCAGAAAATAATAGTGATGCGAAGTTTCAAGGACCTATAAAGAAGAATTCTTCTAACCTATGGATAAGATGGTCTAGGGACAAGCGGACTTTCGGTTGCTTTTACAAATGTGACACTTGGAAGCCTCTTCTGCTGCGCCTATGTTTTAAGAGGCGAATGTGATTTTCCTTAATGTTGTCTCATTGGTGACAGAAGAGCACCTTGCTTTCAAGTCCTTTGATTATTTTTTGAAGTTGTTCTTGGACCTCTGAATTTTATAAAGTAGTTGAGTTCTTTTGGGATCTCTTGCACCAAGGACACAACTTCCACAGAACCTCTGAAGGATGCTGGGGCACAAATATGCATAAAGGACCATAGCATTCAGGGAGAAGCTATTAACTGCTGTGGAAGTAGGATGAGCCCCATCCCCTGGAATTTACCTCAAGGCTGTGCATCTTGAATCAGCCTTGGACATATGTTCTTATAAAAGTAATGAAAAGATACAGCAAAGCTTTGAGTTTGTCTGAGTAGAAAAAGATGTTTAAGTTATCAGAAGGTCAAGGAAGAAAGTCATTTTTATGTACCACTCTTTTTATCTTACACTTTGTATATAATTTCCTAGGAAATCAACCTTCTTAGGTAACATTAGCGCAAACTAATAACATCTAAAACTCAACAGAGTCCCACAAAGTGTTCGGACCCTACCATGTTCTCAGGCTTCGTGGTGATTTCCTCTCCTCTGGGTGAGTAAAATGTTTCAGTGTATTCTGGCCCCAGGAGATGCCTGTAGAGAGCAGAGAGCTGGATGAAACATGCTTCATGCAGAAAGGTGGAACTTCCTGACATGAACTTCAGCACTAAAAGAGTGGTAATGTCTAAAAGTTCGAGACCAGCCTGGCCAACATGGTAAAACCCGTCTCTACTAAAAATACAATAATATTAGCTGGGTGTTGTGGCAGGTGCCTGTAATCACAGTTACTTGGGTGGCTGAGGCAGGAGAATTGCTTGAACTCCGGAGGCAAAGGTTGCAGAGAGCTGAGATTGTGCCACTGCTCTCCAGCCTAGGAGACAGTGAAAGACTCTGTCTAAAAAAAAAAAAAAAAAAAAAAAAAGTAATAGTTTCTAAAACAGCTAAGATTCTGACCTACTGATGCTCTTCCAACATCAGAGCTTTCCTGCTGAAGCAAATCAGGGAGTTTTCCTATGAAATCTGAGGTCAGAAGTCCCCTCATCTCCTTCTCATCTGCAGATTCCCTATCTTCAAATTAGTCATTTTGAGATTTCTTGTACCAAGGACACAATCTCCATAGAACCTCTGGAGAGTGTTGGGTCACAAATATGCATAAAGGACCATTGCATTCAAGGAGAAGTTTACTAACTGCTGTCGAACTAGGAGGAGCCCCATCCCCTGGAACCTATCTCTAGGCCATGCATCTTGAATCGGCCTTGGACATATGTTCTTATAAAGGAATGGAAAGCTGTATCAAAGTCTTGAGTTTATCTGAGTAGAGAAAGATGTTCAGTAAGTTCCCAGAAGGTCAAGGAAGAAAGTCGTTTACATATGCCCTTCCTTTGGTTTTACACTTTGTACATATTTCTTAGGAAATCAGCCTTCCTAGGTAACCTTGGCCCAAACTAATATCATCCAAAGCTCAAAACATCCCATGTCTTCTATGTCAAACCACACTAAATGGATCCTCAAAAGAATCCCTCCCCAATTTCATAATATGATCCCCCGGTGATACTTTCAGGAGGTAAAACTTACTTGGATTTTTGTAGGGAGAGAATGACTTCTTTCCCATTTAAGATCATCTGATATTGAACTTCAGGCTCATATCTTTCCTGCAAATATTTAATTACATCAAACAATTTATATTTCTGAGAATAACTAAAATAATTATGATGATATATGTAGTATGTATTAGAAGAACAATTACAAATGCATATAGGATAAAAGCAGTTCTCTTGTGTTTTTAAAATACATAAGACAAAACATAAGTTATGCAGTAAGACGACTTCCAAAAAGTAAAATAATGTAGTAATAACACCTGTAGAGTAAACTAACTTTAATACATGAGACAGGGATATATCATTTACCCTAATGTTTAGTACATGGTCCCGGGATCACCCAGGGAATCAAAACAAGGTGTATATTTTTCTTGCTTTAAAAACAAACCAAATACACTAAAAAAAAAAAAACCTCAAAACCCACTAAGAATTAGGTAACAATTACAAAATGAGGAAATATTTGCAACAATGTCATAGTCAAATAATTAATATCTTTATTAATAAAAATATTGTGTTAACTACTGATACAAAGTTTAATTCTTCACTATTGACAAAATGGCTGAGGGAAAAGACAATTCACTGGAGAAAAGGGGTGGTGTGAGGGGACGCCATGAGCTTGGTGAGGCTGGTGAGGAACAACATCTCCATTAAAGATGGCTGACCTTCCTGGGCTGCTCTCCTCACCCTCAGATTTGGAGACATGTCTAAGCAGCTTTATCTTTTCTTATCAAATGAGGCTGTTGACTCTCTGCTGCTTAGCCATAGAGGCATTCTGAGAAATTGTGTGCGATCTCCTGAATAAAGGGGAGTTGTATATATGGGCTTCAAGGTGAAATGGTTAGATGTCAACTGTCACATCACTTCTGTTAGTGAAAAGGCTTTTCATTGTCACTTCGGATGATTGTATCATCTCCCACAGTCATTCGCCTTGCTTACCTCTTTGCCATGCTTCTCTGTATGGTTGTTCTCGATCTCTCTTTTATGTAAAATGTGTAGTTTTTTAGGAGAAACTATTTCATGGAGAATTAATTCAGGTGTCTGCTTTATGGCTATTGCTAGAGGAAGAGAAATAATATTCACATAAAAGATTTAAAGGTTTCAGTTTTAGTTGTGTTGTATTTTGTTTTTGTTTCTCGGGTTGCTAAAAGGGCACTAAAGACTGCGCTCCTGATTAGACAGCAAACATTACCAACAACCAGTTGATTCTCCTACTTCAGCTTCCATGACAATGATTTTTTTTCTCTCTCCTCTCATTCTGAAAAGACATGAAGATTATAAAACAGTTCTTCAGAAGATCTCTCAGTGTATGCAAACTCTGGACCACTAAATCCAGAAAGGATGGTTATGGATTAAGAACAGAGGTTGTGGAGCCTAGAATTCTGCCTGTAGAAACCCATTTTCTTCTTGCTTTAGGGTCCTCTTAAAAATTGTGAATTTTTCTCTCAATGCCCTTCAAGACTTTTTCTTTTTTCCTTTTTTATACCCTTTTCCCTCTGAAGCACAACCCCTGACCATACACTCCAAAAACAAAGTTTTTCATTTGTATACAAGGCTTTATTTTTAGGCAAGATGAATCTACTAGCAGTTATTTTATTCCTCAGTTTGACAATAGGCTGTGATGCTTTTTCTCTCAGCATGTTCCCTCAAGACTTTTGATTTCAAAGAAATAAAGATTTTGTTGTCCTCTCTTTGAAGAGTTTTAAAGCCTCAGAGAGGAAGTAGGAAGATTGTTTATAGACACAATGTTCTTCTTGATGTACTTGAAATTACATTATATAGACAGATTTTCATTGTTTACAAATAGTAGAAAAGAAATGTTCTTGGAGCCAAAAGATGTGGTCTTATGCTTTTAGCCAAATGACCTCATAGAAGTCACTTTAGTGTTAGTTTGTTATCTAAAGTATAGGTTAGTGTAAAACTTGAATAAGATATAATATATAAAATCATTTAGCACCCTCTTAGGAAGAGGGCAGCATGCTTCTTCTCTTCTCTTTTAATTATTCAATCATTCATACAAGGTTAGTCTTATTTCTGAATGCTGACATTTTCACACGCAGATTGTGTAAGACCTGATAGACTCTTAGAAAAGTTGGCTTTTACTCTGTGTGAAATGGGGGCCACTGGAGAGTTTGGAGCAGAGAAGTAACATCATCTGACTTTTGTTTAATCAGATTGCCCTGTCTAATTTGTCAAGAATGTCATGCAGAGAGGCAGGAGTAGAATCAGAGAGATCATTTAAGAGGATACTGCAATAATCTAGGAGAGAGATGGTGGGGACTTAGATGAAAGTGGTATCAGTGGAAGGAGTGAGATGTGGTCAGATATTGGATATATTTTAAAGGTGAAATCAATAGAATTGGTGAAGGATTGAATATAGAACATGAAGGAAAGAGAGGAATCAAGAATGACTCCATATATTTGCCTTGAGCAAACAGAATTGCCACTGACAGACATGGGGAAAGGTGAAGGAAAAACAGATATGTGGAAAAGGTTCTGGGTTCCCCTGTGTTGTTTTGAGATGTCTTCTAGGCATCTGTAGAGGACAAAGCAACTCCATCTTGGATGCTAATCTGCCAAGTTGGCTTCTGATTAATCCCTGTTCTGGGAGCTAAGATTTCCAGTGTATCTATTGTTCCTTGTTTAAGAGCAGATACTTACCATAAATCTTGCCCTTAGGTCAAAGAACTGTGATGTCATCACACCTCAACTGTCCGGTACATCTCTTCTGAACCAGCCCTCCCCTGCAGTATTAATGCCCTGGAGCTGGAGAGTGATGGAATAGGGGTCTTGTCCACCACCACCCAGGACACAGACATGGCTGCTTTTTGTAAGTCCCTATTAAAACTGTTTCTCTAAGAAACTGGATTTTTTAGCCTTTCTCTTTGACCTCTCATCTTCCTTCAGCTGTGGGGCAGGTTTGCACAGAACTGCCCACCACATCACAGCATCTAAGTGGATTTGTTGAAAATAAAGTATATTTTAATGTGGAAGCAAAAAGTTGGGAGTTGTCCTCTTGTGGATGGTACTTCAAACTAAAGATTAGATAAATCACCAAATGAATGAACGCTGCTACAAAAGAAGAGTATCAGGCACTGATCCCTGGGGTATTCCAACATTAGGAAATTGAGGAGAAGAGGAGGAACGAATGAAGGAGGCAATATGAGGTAGGACTTCTCCAGATGAAATGGTGTGTTTCATGCCATGGAAAAGCAAAGAGAGAGAAAGGAGAGGAAGAAAGACAGAAAATAAATGAGAACATGATGCCCCAAAATGACCGCTGTATTTCACATCCTTGAAGCTGTAAGAGCAGTTTTTGGTGGAGTGTTGAGATGAAAACCCTGTAGAAGCAGGGTAGAAGAGAATGAGATGAGGCTAGAGAGAAAGTATATAGACAGCACCTTCTGAAGGGCCACAAGGTTCTGCAGAGCCTGTGGAAGACTAGCTAAAGGCAGCTTGTTCTAGAACCCTGAGGCAGAGGGCAAGGAGTAGGTATAAGGGAGTGTGGGGGAATTTATCTTAAACAGGCTCATTTAATTATGTTGACCGGGAACTGACTATTCGCGTGCCTGACGTTCCCTGAAAGGGGAGCAATAAATGTTAATTACCTACAGGTTGTGCTTGCTCCAGGTTTTCGGTATTGTGCCTGCACTGAATAAAAGCAAGCGGCTCTAGCTCCTCGGGGCTGCTCTCTGGCCGCCAGAGCCAGGCGGTCACCTAGCTGTTCTTACACTGCATACCTGTGTCTGAATACTCATTTTGTCCATCAGCCAGGGCCTCTGGGACAGACCCTGCAGATGGTGCCCCATTTGAGGAACGCTGCAACGAATCACGACGGAACCCTTGAAAACTGAAGTGACTGTGCAGTTAATTGGCGCCCGCTGGGGATTTCCAAGTTCGGGGGCATTTTCAAGGTAGGGTCTCATCATGGGATGACAGTTATCAGCTTAACAGCAACACTATATAAAAATGTTAAAACAGCTGCTTAAAGCTATCAGGGCATTGATCTTGGAGGTCCAATTAAGGGACTTAATGCAAACTCTTGTTTTCCATAACAGGTGGTTCCCGGAATAAGGCATGTTAGACCTAGAGCTCTGGGAGCAAGTGGAAAGAAATCTTAAACAGCATTATGCACAAGGGCAACAGGTCCCAGTAACATCTTTAACGTTATGAGCCTAGTTAGGGCTGCCTTGGCCGTGCCCTACACAGAAGAGCCCATAAAGGGAAGGGAGAAAGCACCATCATCTACCTTATTACACACCGCCGCCGCCTACCTCAGCACCACCGTTATGGGGTTAAGGTGCCATAGAGACAAGGGATACACTACAGTTATGAGACCACATCTTAGGCAAGGGGCATTAAAAGGGGAGCTCTTGGTCCGCCCAGTGATGCAAAGCCAACAAAGCAATTGGGCACATGAATCCATCCCTTTCCACAGTTAGACACACATAAGAGAAAAGCATTTAGAGAAAGCCGAGCTGCTAGCCCATTTATGAAAGGATTCATTGAGGCCATAGCAAACAACTTCCATATGCCCCCATGGGGCTGCTTAGTGCTGCCTAAGACAGCTTTACAGGCTGGTCAATACTTCTCTGAAGGGCAGGGTATGATGAGTTCTGCGAACAACAAGACAACCAGAAGCCATTGTCCAGGCAAAACATAACAGCTGCTCTCTGGCCACTAAGGCCATGCAGTCACCTAGCGGTTCTTAACACTGCATACCTGTGTCTGAGTACTCATTTCATCTGTCGGCCAGGGTCTGCGGGACAGGCCCAGCAGAGGAGAGAAAATTTAGTGTGTTAACTGGCAGAAGAAGAAGAAAAAGGACGTTCATTTTAAGTTGGGAGAATTTTTGTATGCTGATGGGAATGATTCCATAGAGAATCTGGAAGAGATAAAGTAGAAGGAGGAGAAATACTAGGTCAGTGTCCTTGTATGAGAAGGGATAAGATCTAGGGAACAAATGGAGGTGTTAAGCCAGCATAGATAGGTCACTTACAGGAGCAGAAGGTAAGGCTGATCATACAGGGACAAGGAGCAGTAGATTGGTGAATATGGTGGAACACCAGCTGAAACCTCTGTCAGTCCTTCCCATTTCCCCCGGAAACTTCTGGCAGCGTTTATACACATAAAGCCAAACAAATATAATGCTAAAGTTCATTTTGTTTAGTAGTTCAATGAGTACAAGTTTGTTTGAATATGATGGTTTCGTGCACAATGATCAATAATGTTAAGATTTTATGGAAGTTCCAGAAAGTTGTGGGCTTCAAAGAAGAATAATTAACCAGATAAGATTATTAACCTGATAAGATTGTGTATGGATAAGCATAAGAACATTACTAGATATAAAATTATCTAGCTAACTGCAATCTAACAAATATCTTCTAAAATAATAGCTTTTATTGTTAACTATTGGGTTATCTAAAGTAATGATTTCCAAAGCAATAGGGAGAAACATTTAAAAATTCAGGGCTACTTGGGCACTATGGGCTTCGTAAACTATCATCAAATTCAGAAGCATTTTAGCGACATTTTCAGCAGAATTTTGAGAGAACAATAGTAATACAAACAAGTTTCTCTTTCTAGAAATTCAGCAGTGAGTATTTTGAGGTCTCTGTGAGGAATGAGAGAAAACAGATGTGTAGAATTTTTTTATTTTCAGTTAAACAATTCTATTTCATTTATGTTGTGTGTCTTTAGGCAGAATTCTCAACAGACAGCACAGGCACAGCTGTTCAGTTGGTCAGTTAATGTTTCCTTTTGTTTAATCATGCAATTATGATGCATTATATCTGATTTTTGTTTAATAATACAATTATATAGGATTTAGCCCTCATTCTATTTTAAACTCTTTCCTGTCATTCATCCTGGCAAAGTCTTTGACCAAGTTGTGTCTTTGGATAAATGATTGTCTCCTCATGTGGTAGAAAATATCAAAGGATTCAAACTTTATTCAAGATGATTTTAGAGATGATTAGAAAGTTCTCTTAGATACATGGATTTGATTATTGGCCAGGAAGTTAGTTCCATGTTGTCATTGGGATGGCATGTTTTAGAAAAGAAAATAATAGATCTAGCAGGATTATTAAATAAGAAATACAATTCCAGAGACATCCTTGCTAAATTATTATGCAAATCACAGTGTTGACTATAAGCCTGTCTATATGTTTATATGGATTTAATAATTGGATTTGAAAAGACTTCAGTGAGCTGCGTGTATATATGGCATAATCGTTGGTTTAATAATTACTCTATTTTATCTTTCCTTTGGGTATATTATTGATGTTGGACAATGTGAGAAATGAAAGAGAATATAAAGGCTAGAGCCAGCCCTTTGTACGCAGCTTTTGCAAAGCAACATTTAGGCAAGTGATAATTATGTGGGGAGCTTGGATAACTCCTCAGTTACATACTTTACCTTTTTCAATATAGGATTCAGCACAAATGTATTCATACATGGAAATGTGCAGGTTTACAGCTTGACTTTTAACATGCTTACCATGTGACTACTAGTAAAATAACCAGTGACTTGAAAATTATTTGTGGTATAATAAGAGTGTATATAGTGATGGGCAAACTGGTTCATCTAAGAATAATCAATCTCAAAGACAAAAAGGGTTATTTTTCCAGAACTAGTCATTTTTACCCTGTCATTCTGCTTTTAGGAATTTTTCTCAAGGAAATATCTCAAAGTGTAGATCTTTTAAACAGCCTTGATTCATGAAGATGTTAATAAAACTTTATTTACTAGAGAAAAGACATAATGAATGAAACAATATGTAGCTTTTGGTTCACCTATTTTAGAAGATATTGTGCAAACATAAAATTTATTATTTATTAAAACATAATTTGAGAAAATATGACAAATTTTAGAATGCATGTTTCATATAGTGGGTTAAAATACCTTCACTCAAAATTATATATATACACACACACACATACACATATGTATATATAGTTTGCTTTTGCAGAGAGAGAGAGACGTAGAAAATATATCAAAATGCCAATAGCAGTGATCTTTGATCTCAAAAACATACGCCATTTTTTTCAAAGGCATTTAAGCATTCATCACATAATTTGACTTCTATATAAAATGCTGATGTGATGGTACTTACCTTGAGTTTGGACAATGAGCCAGAGTATAGACAGCAGGACCCAAGACATGGTGGCCACTGCAGGTAGCTGAGAAAGCTCACGCAGCATGAAGTTGTGGTTTCCCCAGCGTCGTCTTATCTTCCCCAATTTATCTTTAGAAGTTGAACAAGAAAATGAAAACCCCCACTTTTCGTGTGAGGTTGGGGAATGTTCCTTAAGAGTGTTGGGAAATTGTCAAAAAATTGCAGTGTCAACATCGTGAGGATGTTCCTCGTTGAGAGATATTTGTGGCTGTGGTTATAGCTTGTTAAGGCCTCACATCTGGACAGTGTTTGCCCTTGGTGCTCCTATAGCAGTGGGAATGTGTGAACTGAGACTGAGGTGCTTGCAGGCATATCTACATACTCAACAAACTGGACCATCATGATTGCTGTTCAGTATCCTTATGGAAATCAATCCACATATTTAGAACATATATCAGTATTCTGTACATATTTTGAGAAACTGCCACAGTGAACACAGAATCTGAAAAACAAGCACCAGGCAAAGTCCTACAAACCAGGATAGTGCAAATATCTCTAACGTTCAGTCTCCTTATGTGTCAGAAGGGGATGCTGATAATATCAGCTGCCTCAAGATTCTTAGAAAATTCATGAGTTTGCACACACACACTTATGCAAATGTATGTAAAATTGTAAAGCAATGTGCATGTATAAGAAATGTACAATAAATCTAAATTATCTTGGCAGTGCTAGCCTTAACCAAAGTATACATACAACACATGAAGTAGGTTTGAGGTGTATTGTGAGTCCTGCCTTATAAAGTAACAATGTTTTTCTGACCATAATATTGTAGTTTCCTGATCACAATAAAGTTTATTGTGGGAAAAGAGTTGGTTGTCCAATGACCTAATGTCAAGAAATAACTTCTGTTAATATTTTTACAATTTATTTTCATCTTTTTATGCAGGAAAGAAGGAAAGAAAGCTAACCTTATTATACAAAGGGCTTAAGAAACTTACTTTTTTTGTGGCACTATAACACAAGCATTCTCATGACATTGAATATTAAGACATCATTTTAATTACTTCCTTAGAAAATATCATAATTTGTACATAAGCATGTGTTGAGTACCTATGTAATGTGTGGTTGTGTATATTTAATTGACTTTTTAATTATTTCTTCAGGATAAATGTCTTGAAGTGCTATTATTTGGTCAAAAAGGGTTAATCAACTTGAGCTTATTGATATACATTGACTCAGTGCTTTTCAGAAAGTTAGGGTCAAAGTAAATTTTCATGTGTAGAGTTTTCCCAATCTAAAAACCTGTACCTTCTAACTGCTGCACTGACTTTTCACTGAAACATTTAGGAATTTCCTAGCATCTGATTGGAAGTTTAAAAATCCCCTCTTTGTCAATTCTTCATTTAGTTGCTCCTCTACCTTCTGTAAAAACCGTAGCATTTTTCTCTATAATTTTGCATTTTGCATTTCTCTTTCTGATCCAGAAGATAAACCTTCTTCTTATATCCTTTATGAGCCACCATTAATATTTTTTTTCGACACAAAAGTTTTTAGTTTATTAACAAGCTTCTCGTGTAAAATCCACAACGGCCATAGATAACATCATTGCGGCACCTTTTACTCCTTCGGCTGTGATCCAATCTCCAGCTCACTTTTTGCCAGCACCAACATTGGCCTTTGCAGTCCCCCTGACTTCATTCTGTTCTTGCGTTCCTTTTGTTGCTTTCTTGAGGTCTTTTTCTTCTCATACAGGACATGTCTTGCAAGTCTATGTTTGAGTTCATTTTTCTCTGCAT